CATGTTAAATGATTCCATTTATACGAACTGTCCAAAAAGATCCACAGGGACAGGAAGTAGATTAGTGACTGCCTAGAGCTGCAGGGGTTGGGCGCAATGGAGAATGACTGCTAATGGGTACAGGTTTCTTATTTAGGGTGATGAAAATGTTCTAAAATTGACTTGGTGATGCTTGTACAACTTTGTGAACTTTACACTGAATTGTACAAATTAAACTGGTGAATTGTAGACATGTGAATTTTATCTCAATAAAGCTGCTAACATTTTTAAAAATAAACTTGAAATGACAGGGAGAAAAAAGCAGTGGGATCTGCTGGTGTGGTGAACGTGCAGTGGCAACCCACGAGCCACTGGACACAAGCCCTGACCACCCACTGTCATGCTGATGCCTCCCAGCAGAGCACTGATAAGCTTCTCCCTTCTAGATCCCTGACTTCACGGGAAAGGAATGAGCAGATCACAGATGAGAGGACTGAGAACAACAGAACGGGAAGGGACCTCATCTAATTCAGCCCTCTACTGCCTACTATCGTGTTTATTTAAATCATTTAAAAGAAAGTGGGAGTTCTGATTCCGACCAAGATGGAGACAGTCCACTACTGCCTCTGTCTTCTGCTGCCAACAACCAAAACCTCCGGGCAAAACACAAACAGCGAATACCTGAGGACTGGGGAGCGTCCACTCAAGATGGTGGCCTGTGGGGGGAGAGGCCATGGGGAAAGGGTTCCCATTTCCCCCCTTTCTCTCACAGCCTTGCCCTGAGTGTGAGCTCCAGCAGCAGAGCTCTGTGGTGGTGCAGGGGCTAAACCTCCAGTAGAAACTCCGTCTTCCTGAAGGACCAAGGAAAGGGGCCCCTGCAGTCCAAAGAATGAGTGTGTGGGGGGTCTCTGTGGGTTTTTCCCCCTCTTTTCTCTGTAGCTTTGCCCCAAAGGTAGTCCCTAAGTCACCGAGCCGCATGGTGGTAGCAATGCAGGCAGGTAACACTCTGAGAGAAAGCCATCTTCTGGTCAGAGGCCCAGGGAAAGGAGCCTCTGAAGGCTGGATAGTGCAGGGATGAGAGGAGGAAACTGGAGAAGGGGAGCCATAATCCTGCGTACAACCCCACACAAATCCCAGACAGATCCCAGCAGTACAGCAAAGGCTCTGAGAACTCAACCGAGAGTTATTAAACCACGGCCACCTCACACTGCCCCGTGAGCAGCCCAGGGGCAGGCCAGAGCCCGAGAAAAAGGAAAGGCTCTGGAAGGTGAACTGACCCTGGAATCACCACCCACAGAAGGCAAGACAGCACGGCAGTCTAAACCTGACGAGGTGACTGCCGGCTTAAAAGATCTCAACATTCTCCAGAGGGCTGTGTACAGGATCCAAAGTGCACACAATAAAACATTCAAAATGTGCAAGATACAACCCCAAATTACTTGACATTACCACCCGCCCCCAAAATAGCCAGGAAAATACGACCCATTCTCAAGGGAAAAAACAACAAGCAGATGTCAACCCTAAAATAACCCAGATTTTGGGAATTATCAGTGACTTTGAAGCAGTGATTGTAACTATATTTCAAGAGGCAAAGGCAAAATGATAAAAAAGAATGACATTCCGAGCAGAGAAACAGAAACTATGAAAAAGAATTGAATGGAAATTTTGAACCAAAAAATACAAAATCTGAAATAAAAAATTCACTGGATGGGCTCAATAGAAATTATGCAATCTGAAGAACAGAAACAAAATTTAGGAAAGAAAATGATCAGGGCTTCAGTGACCTGTGGGACAATATCAAAAGGTCTGACACTGACATCACCGGAGCTGCAGAAGAGGAGGAGACAGGGATTAGTGCAGAAAAAATATTTGAAGAAATAAAGGCTAAAAACTTCCTAAATTTGGTGGAAAAGATAAATTTACAGATTCTAAATGCTCAGTGAACCCCAAACAGAGGTTAAACTAAAGAACAACCAAAGTGGTCTATTTCCTGCAGACTTTCTCTTGCTAACCCATTCAAGCTTCTCCTAAATGTTCTAATTCCTAAGCTATTCATTTTTGCCTTCACTGAACAAATACGTACTTTCATTTAATTGAAAACACCACTGATGGTAAGAAGAATCATTACTTTACCTAACATTTAAAAATGCTGCCAATTAATTTTAAGATGCTGTTGTAAAGGACACATCCTGATTTCACAGATGTGAAAATGTAAAAAAAAGAACAAAAGAAACTTGCATCTTAGAATAAATACAGAGCATAGTGTTAAGCACTCACTGAGCACTAGGCAGGTACTGTGGCGAGTAGAACAGACGCCAGCACCCAGTCCTAACACCTAACGTACACCACGCCTCTTCTAACATCACTCACTGCTTGCTCTTCTTGGTTTAACAGGAAAGACAAAATATGCATTTAGAAAAACTCACTGACCTATAGTATTAAAACTCTTGCACAGAGCCTCCCCCTCCTCCACCCCCCGCTCTCTCCCCACTGTACAGCCCTTCCCTCTCAGCAAGGGAAAGCATAAATCAACAATAACTCAGTTTCCACCCTAATCATTCTCTTAATCTTCATCAGACTCTATTATCCTCATTTTTTCTGGAAACGGTGATAGGCTAGGTGAGTAATTTTTTCATTTTTAATTTCAGCCTATTCTAACCCCCCCCAAAAAAAAAACTCCTTGCGAAATTCCACCCTTGTTTGCAAACTAACTCAAGCTGATTTCCTTACTTCAATGAAAAATTGCTTTATTTTTGTCTTAACCTTGGACAGTTTTATGTATCTTTAGAGTCCATTTAATTCTCAAGTTATTTATAAAGTACTAAGAGAATGCAGTGGAAATCCAGGCTTTTAAATAAAAAAAGGAGGTTCCAGAGTTTTCTTAATTGCATCAGCCATTAAGTGACAGCCAGGGACATAGTTCCCTTCATAATATTTGACCCCTTACTCCCATTTTTGAAATAAAACATAAGCTGTACAAGCCCGGGTGTACATCTCTAACAAGATCCTACTCATAGCTATTAAGCCTTTGGGGGAAAAAAAGACTCCCCTCTGCTACATTTAAAAGTCTAGATTCCTTATTCTTCCCTTTTTCCAGATGTACAATTTAACCCCTGTGTTTCAAATTCATATTGCTAACACTGCTATTCTGACTCATAAGGGACAATCTTATATACGATGGCGAGCCCCTGATGTACTGGCAGTGGTCAGACAGCTGGCACAAAGATCTAGGACTGTCTGAATTAAATGCCACTTTGGACAGCCCTAGCCCCCCCTTCAAGTCATAGTCTGTTCTTTTCATCCATTGAGACAGAGGGTTTTATAAAACATACTAGTTTACTAATAAAATGCACTTCACATGGTCAAATCCAGCCTTCAAAATGACCAGAGAGCCCTTTTACACTGAGAATTTAGCTCCTCTTCTGGCAATGGGGATGTGATTATGCAGCCCGGCTCCAGAGGAGAGAGTCAGCTTTACTAGGTATACAGGTCTCCTAACTGACAGTACAATGCACAGCTGACAGTGGTCATGACAATCTGGCTTTAACCGTTCTTCTGGAGCTAACTGAGCTAAGTTATGCAGAAAACAGAGGTCTCTTCTCTGGAACACCACAGTTTCCTGTGAGCCGAGCTGTAGCTGAACACGTAAAAGCTATGCTGTAAACAAACTCCGAAGCATCACCTACAATCCCAAACTCTTCCATTTGGATGCCCCAAAAAGCCCTCTGCATTTGCTCTCCTGGAAAGCGAGTGGCTGCTAGGTCCCTGTGGGGAGATCCTGTCTGATAAGCTTGGAGCCTTTGTACAGCTCAGTCTGGAAACTAAAACGTGAAAGTAAAACTACAAACTGATTTGTTTCATTTGCTGTGCCACATGTGGGGTCACTTATCAGGCCTAGTTCTTTTAAGAGAAAAACTGCCTGGACATACACCGGGGAGTTCAATTCTCAAACACTGGAAATACCAGCCATTTTAGAAGACCTTGAGAAAAAATGATGGAGTGTTTTCCTTCAATAAAGCATACTTACTAAGGGAAGGGGGTAGTAAAGGGGTGAAGGTCAGGAGTTGAAAATATTATTTGACAAAAGCATTATTTTTGCAAGCTGCTGCACTGGTGCCGCAGAGATCTGGGATTTGGCACGAAGGAGCAGCCGCCTCACGATCTGATCCCCCCAGTGAGCAGCCCACCACCTGCAGCCTGGGGCCGGGCCCAAGGGAGGGGGTGCCGGCAGACCCTGGCCTCCAGCCACGCTACCTCTCTTCAGGGCACTGGATCAGACATGGCAGATAACCAGCCAGAAAGAAAAGGAAAAGAAAAGACAAGAGGGAGAGGGGGCAGGGAGGGAAAAAACCTAAAATTTGGACTCAGAGGGTCTTTTCAAACACTCTAATCCTTTCTCGCTGATGGTTCCTGGAGCGTCCATGGCTGGCACCGGACCCTGTACCGGGAAAATCCGCCTCCCTAAGCCAATGCGTTAAAGAGAAGGCTGCTAATCAGCTAAATAGAAACTGGAATCTGTTCACATGAAGTCTCTTTTTTTCCCCATCACCAGAGGGACACCACAGTGTTCTGAAATACACTCTTGACATCATTTGGCAGGCAACCCTATTTTGTTGAACATGATTCATCCCTTAGGTTATTGTTTTTAATATTAGAAAGTGAGCTTTTAAATGCCAAACAAATTTTGCAGCAGGGGGACAAAAGATATTCCAAGTGGTCTCCCTGGACCTTCCACCAACTGAGTCCACCAAATGGCTTAAAAAACAACCTTGCCATGGTGTTTCAGAAACGAGGTAGAGACATGGCTCTATCCAACTATTACCTAATACCAGACTTTGTTCTCCAAGTTCACAGAGACGGTACTGATGGGATCAGGGCTGAACTCAGGTGGGCAAGGCTGTGGAGTGAGAACCGAGGGGGGCGAGTCGCAGGGGAAATGAGCGAGCACAGCAGAGGCTGAGGGGCAAGGCCTCAGTGGAAGCTGCTGTGGCCCCAAAATGCTGCTTTTTACTCAGACATACCTCCTGTCCATGTTGCCACTGACCATGAGATTGGGAGGGCTGTCTCTGAGGTTGACGCAAGTGAAGTCACCAAGCGCGTTACCCAGCTTCGAAAGGCAGCGTTCTGCTTCCAGGCTATACACCAGGATCTGGGGGGCGGAGAAAAACATGTGGGTGCGCAGTTACATGCAGCAGACCTAATCAAACACTTTTCACTTCAGCATCATCCAGGGCGTGGTCACTACCACTCAGCTCCTGTTCAAGATGTTCTGCTGCTTAATATCCTGACCTTTTCCAGGTAACGTCAGTAAAGGGATATGGCTATTAGAATGACAAACGGAAATGCAAAAGAACATAAAGGAAAATCCAAAGAGTTCCTCAGGTCAAGGTGCAAACAAACTCACAATGCACAAAGGAAAATGCCAAATGGGGAAATTAGGTATCCCAATTTCCTAACAGAAAAGAGGCACAGAAACTACCGGAGGGTCACTGACTGCTTCTGCTCTGGAATTAATGGGGACGCTCACGAGAGATCAGGAACTAGCAGAGGAGCCGACAGCGGTTCTCTTTCTTTTTCCCCCTCTGTATTTATACCACAGAAGGTAAAAGAAAGAACACTAAGTACCCAGGAAGAGGACGCTTGCATAGTTAGCCACTAGACGATTCCTTCAGACTAAACTATAAACCAAAACACCAAGCCTTATTCCCAAACCGTTCCCTCCTCAGTCCTCTCCGCTAGCTAGCCGTAGAAAGCTCTGTCCTATAAGCTACAGAGGCAAACAAGGTGTCCCTGATCTCCAGACAGTGTACTCACTATATTTGAACACGTCCGTACCTTCTCTCCAGCCAAAAGAAAAACAAGGATGATTCATAAGAGATCTTTCTAAAGATTATTTAAGTCTTCTACTAAAAAAAATCTTAGTAATTAAATTTGACTTAATTCAATTAAAATTAAATGCTTGCTATGGCTCAGTAACTGTTGTAGGTACTGAGGACACAGTCCTTGCCCCAAAATTCACAGTTCAAAAGCCTCCTCATTAACACACACACACTTCTGAGCATGCATTCTATTCTGTTAATCATGTGGTTAAAATTAATCACGGAACTCAAAAGTTTTAATATCAGTATTTTGCAGAGGAACTCTCTTAGCACATGCATGAAAATGATGTGCTTTCTTTTTCTTGTTAACCTATACGTTTATCAATTATCAGCATACAGATTCTTATTTTAGTACTGAGAAGTTAATAAATTGTCTCCACCTTGAAAACCATCAATCTCATTGTCAACACACATTTCTAACAAGTGACTCTTTGGAAATTCCTAACAGTCAAAACAACACTATAATATTAATTAACTATTGCCAACAGCATCTGAAAGGAAAGAGGGCAATTTCAAAATTTAAAATGCAATCTTAATCCATAAAGACTACAGAGAACAAGCTGAATTTTATTTTCATGAAGTTAAAAATAAAAGTTTCTGACTGAGAAAATTTCAACCATTCTAAAATATCCAAAATAAGATTATTCTTCCAAGTAAGAACATAGAAATAATCAAATCTTCTATCTACAGTGAATAACCTAAAAATTGCATAAAATCAGCTCCTGGAAAGAGAAAATTAAAAACAGTAACCTCATGGTCTCCTATAAAAGTAATATTCTGCACTTCTATATCATTATAGAGCTTTCAATAGGGTTCTTTGACTCAGTATCTTCTTGTTTTTAAAATACTTCAACTTCTATAGCAGGAAGGCAGGCCTTTAACATGTAACATGTCCATAGGTAAATATAAGAATTAAAATCTGACACTGAGTCAGTTCGTATGTCTTTACTTTTTCTAGAAGTTCTTTTTGACAAGTGGATGGATCATCTCTGAGTGATATAGTGAGAGCTAATCCCTCTCTAAGAAGACTCTGCAAATTCAGCATAAAGACATCTAGTTAGTAGTTAAGATCAAGTATTTTCTAAAATGTTCAATAATTCAATGAATCAGAACTATCTGAAGAGTACCTTTAACATTACGTTTAGTTAAAGACCACAGAGATTAGAAAACACATTACCCATCTCAAAGGCGGGTCTTTCCATGTTACAAGTCCCTGAACGACCTTTACCATTTCTCTCTCCCCCCTGCACTCTCTCTCTTTTAATAAGGTTGAGCAAATGGGACTTCATTTTATCTGATTGCCACAGACTAGTGAGATTAATTATTCATGCTCACACTCTCCCTCTTGTTAAGACCATGCATTAGACTAATTTTTCTCTTTATTGCCCTAGTTGGGTGAGTCTCAACCCACGGCCACTCAACTCACTCTCAGAGGTGTATGGATATGCTGGAAAGAAGGAAAAAACTACCCATAGCTAAAATCTTGGAGAAAATGTTCTGCACTAATGTGGCCGCCAAATCAATACATGTCGCCGTGATTTTTCCTTTTAAGTACCAAGTGTATATTACAAAAGAGCTTAAATAGTGATTTCAGGGAAAATTTTTATAGGAGTTAGATGTTTCTTTAAGAATCATCTAAAATGGCTAACCCATGTTAAGACCGGCGTATATTTTGCAAAGAGAACTACAAGAGATGCAGTGTGCAATCGCAGGACACTGGGTGGCTGTCCTTTCTCTTTGGCTTCCAGGTAGATCTAGAGGACAGTAGGTGGAAGCAAGCACTGTCTTTAATAAGAACTTGAGCAAAGATCTGTCGTTTTTTTCTTCTGAGATCTTAAAGTATTTTTATAAATCCTAGTCTTAGAACTTTAACTTTCAATTTTGTCGATTATTCAGATTTCTCTGAAATCTACTTCTAAAAAAATCTTTTTTCTGATTTCAAACATACATCTTGTAACAAATTCTAACATAATATAATTACATAACAAAAAGTGGTAGCTTTCTGTGTAACCGTCTCTCAGAAACAAACACTTTACCTGTTTGGTGTATATACTGCTAGACTTTTTCTATACACGTCTGTCTTGTCTGTTTCTCTCTGTGTGTGTGTGTGTATGTGTGTGTATAAAATTTTTCTTTTCTCTGAATGGGATTATTGTTCTACAACTTGTTTTTCCCATTAAATAACATGAGAGTTCTTCCTTGTCAGTAACTATAGATAGATCTTGTTTTCTTAATGGCTACACAGAATTTCTCCATGAATATATAATTCCATATTGATATTTGGATTTTTGTGGATTTTTGTGTCGTTTCTAATTTTTTAGACAAAATAAATAATGGTGTAATGCATTCAACACCCAGTCAAGAAATACGTATTAATCATCTTGTATGCAGTAGGCACTGGAATGAACAGGGACGGCAGATGACGTGCAGAAGCCGCAGCCTGCTGCCAGCTGAAACAATCCACCTCTTCGCCAGCTGGTGCATGGCCACCAGCTGTCCTGCTCCTCCGTACATGGTACGTGCCTCTCCGAGGAGACCCACCTTACAGCCATGTCCTAGTAGCTGCCGTTGTAATGGCAGGGGCAGCAGTGCAGAGTCAGGAAGGAGGCAGTGGCCACAGTCCCAACATCTGGGAAGCATCAGCAGCTGCCCTGGTGCAGGCAGGCCCTGCATCTTCCAGGTGTGACCCGACAATTTAGTGTGTCCAGGACTGGCTTTCCAACCAAACCACGAGGGAAAGAGCTGAGAAATGGCTACTGTCCCTGTAATGGGGGGCGCTCAAGGCAGGCCAACTTCCTCCTTCACACAGTAAGGCCTGGATTTAGCACTGCAAACGTTTTCTCAATCTAGGACTGATATTACCCTCATAACTGAATGAGAACCACTTGCATACAAAACGCTCTATGAAGAGATTACAGAGCTCTGCAGCCCCAGACTTTTGGTCATATATTGACGAATAACGCAAGGAACTCCATTTGTGTTTTCTTTGATTAAGTTCACCGAAACAGTGAGTATTCTTCATACTCCTATATCTGCCAAAGGCAGTACACCAACAATAATGTCAACCTGAGCAGCCAGCTCACCCTGAGAACCCCAGCACTACCTCTCCAAAGGGGTGAGGAGTGGTCAGCAGGCTTCCTTACAAGACTATAGGATTTAAAAGGGCTTTGTGAATTACAGACGATTTGTCTGTCTACCATTTTAAAAAGAGAAGTGACAGGGGTCGGCCTGGTGGTATAGTGGTTAAGTTCACGTGCTCTGCTTCAGCGGCCCAGGGTTCGCAGGTCTGGATCCCGGGCAGAGACCTACGCCCGGCTTGTCAGGTCATGCTGTGGCGGCGTCCCATATACAAAATAGAGGAAGATGGGCACAGATGTTAGCTCAGGGCCAGTCTTCCTCAGCAAAAAGAGGAGGATTGGCAATGGATGCTAGCTCAGAGCCAGTCTTCCTCCCAAAAAAAACAAAAAGAGAAGTGACAAAGAGAGCAAAAGTCAGGAGATACTGTGGTGGACTGAAGTGGAGGGAAAGATAAAAGGCATGGGAGGAAGATCTGACTGACATTCTTGGTGATGACAAAGTCTACCTACTTTCTTTTCTGATCCCTAATAACCCACCTCCATCACTACCACATATATTTTGCCCTTCTAAGTGGGGGAAGTCATAAGAGGCCGAATCATAGAGAGTAAAGCAAATAACCCTTATGCTCTCTCCTCTTCCATCCCACTCAAGCCTGTTTTGTGCTCTCTTTGTGCCCTCAACACACATAGTTCATTCCCTCTTGTCAGGGCTGGAGGTGTTGACTGTCTGCACACTGCAGCTGGTGTTCCCAAGATGCCATCTTGAACTGTGCATTAGCTTCCTCCAACTTCTTCCCAGCCCTGCGGTTCTCAAACACTGAGGGTAGGCGAGTCACCAAGCATATGATTTTAGCAGGTCAGCTGAGGCTCTGTTACCAAGTGCCACTCCACGTGTTATAAAACACTGTCCTAGACTTAGACTATAAGTTCCTTGGGGCAGAAATCCTATCATTCATTCTTGCAGCACTGATTAAGGGCCCAGCGTGTGCCGGGTGCTCAGTAACTGCTGGTAGACTGAATGACTGGTGCACAATATCAGGCAAACCCAGAGCTTACCACAGTCTGGCACACAGCAAATACTCAGATATCCCTTTTGTGGCTTAACACACTCCCCCTTTCTGGAGGTCTAATTTTACTGCTGGCTTGTATAAAGGAACAACTTCATCCTACTCAAAATAGAAGGAGGTTCCACA